TTGTGTTCCAGTTAAACTTTTAAGCGCGACTTGGCAAAATAGTTCACGTGCCTTTATTAATTTTCTTTTCGTTTTATCCCAACTATAAGCTCGTCTGCCATCTACCCAAGTAGCAGAATAAATTGTGCTGAACCCACCTCTGCCAATTTTTTGAACATTTGTTAATCTATCAAAAGGTATCCATTCAATAACTTTATGATAATATGGTGTATTCATTTGTGCATTTTTTATAAATTCATCTATTTTCTTATCTCCACTAGTCCATTCACGACTTATTTGAAAATCACATAAATGGCAAAAGTCGATTCCGGAATTATACTGTTTGCAATTGGTACATGTTCCAAACCTTGAGGTGTTGCTCCCTTAATATTATGTACATTCGTACGATGAGATTTAATTAGCATTCATTTAAATCTACATATGATTCATTATATCTGCCCATCGCTTTATAAACAAATCCACGATAGATTAATGCAGGTTCAAGGTTTGGATCGACTTCCAGTGATTTATTTAAATCTGCAAGTGATTCTTCATCTCTTCCCATTTCAAAATAAGTTAGTCCTCGATTACTTAATGCTGGTGCATATTTTGGATTTATTTTTAATGATTTATTTAAATCTACAAGTGATTCTTCATATCTGCGCATTTGTTGATAAATTATTCCTCGAATATTTAACATTTCTACATCGTTTGGATTTATTTCTAATAATTTATTTAAATCTGCAAGTGATTCTTCATATCTTTCCGTTTCCAAATAAGCTAGTGCTCGATTAGATAATGCATCTACAAAATTTGGTTTTATTTTTAAGGATTTATTTAAATTTACAAGTGCTTCTTCAAATCTGCCCATTCTTAGATAAATTATTCCTCGAAAGTTTAATGTGTATGGATTTATTACTAATGGATTTATTTCTAATGATTTATTTAAATCTACAAGTGATTCTTCATTTCTATCTAAGTTTTTATAAGTTACTCCTCGATTATGTAATGCTATTGCTAGTGCTAGTTCATCGTTTAGACCAATTTCTAATGATTTATTTAAATTCACAAGTGATTCTTCATATTTTCCAATAAACAAATAAGCTGATCCTAAAGCAAAATATACATATCCATTTATCTTTAACAATATTTCTTTTATCAGTCGATGTTTTAAAATAGAACATGTAATTATTAATATACTTAAATTCTCAAGTGATTCTTCATATTCATCCTTAAACAAATAAGCTGTCCCTAAAATAAGATATAAATATCTATTTATCATTAACAATAATTCTTCTATCATTCCATATTTTAAATAGAACACGTAATTGTTAATATACAATTACAAAAATCGATAATTATTTTAATCATAAATGCTAAGATTTATTCCAACAAAATACTGTAATGGATAATTGATAATTTGAAGACAAAAAAAAAAAGGCATTTTTATACATCATTGGTGTTCATTCAAACGACATAACACTTTCAAGAATTTAATTCATTAGTGTTTTTGATTAGCGTTTTGATATGTGCGACTGCTGCGTCCCACCACTAGGGTTTGGAACCGGTGTTACCATATGGTTACGTACGTACGTACTAGTACTAGTAATCCTGTATACAAGGACCGGAGTCCGTGTGCGATTTCTTGTAACCGTTTTTTTATTGTTATACATTATTATTATATGTGGCTTTTTAAATATCGACATCAGGAATATTTAAAATATTTGTAATGCAGTAATAATGTGTGTAAGTTACAGTATACATACGTAGAGCTTGGATCCGGTTATCCATAGGATGCAAATTTAATAGTAAAATCCGCCGAATCGTTAAATTTAATATGAAAACGGATGACCGGGATCCAGGCTCTATACATACGTATTATGTTTTTACTTGTTTTATTCACGGTTCTGCCTGTATCATCTATTTTGAATCTTCTATTTTATACGTATGGTTTGCACTGTGAAAGTTATCATGGTAACCTTAATCATTAACGTTAAGGCACGCACTTACGTATTTGAGTGTTTACTAATTTTCTCCTATCGGTATACCATAAAATTGATTAATAACATAGATATTCAAATTCAAGTTGACGGAAGGTCGACAAATTGAAAAGTATGCTAAGCAGGGATATGCCGGAACTAACCCTGCTAGATCATGCTGACCAGACCACTATTCAAACCGGTTAGTGGTTGGCTTATACAAATCAAGAAACAGATAAACTAGCGACACATGAAGAAGCATATGCTCTTTTGAATTATTGGATGATTACTTATAATAACTTCGTGTTGGATTGAATATAACGATTAGTCACCACAGTCAGATAGCTCCCCATAAAAAACAAGAAGCGAGGTTTGCACCAAATCCTTCCCATCCCAAGGCAGAAGTTTACCATTTCACGGTAATCTTCAAACCTCATGTCAGTCGGCCTGCTTGATGCAGGCCAGAACAGGTTTTCAGCTGATGACGATGATACCCGGCGCAACTATAGTTGCTATTTCTGGGGACATCTCCCGTCTCAGCATGCAAATCAATCGCACTGATGTACGCCACACACAATATCATACGTACGTACGTACGTACGTACATACGTATTACATCACGATGTACGCTGCATCTTTCTCTATATAATCATTTACAAAATTAATCGCACAGATGTACGCTGCATGCTATAACCAATCAGGAGTGATGAAGGAAATTATTAAGCAACTTATTTGCGTGGGTAATACAACTTCCTTATTTGGTCCTACCGATCATTCCTCAGCCAATCATCATGAGTTTTGAGGACTGTTAGTGATTTGGCTTTGTCTAATATGAGATCTAAAATTCGAGAAAAAAAAGAATAACACATAATCCAACATTAACATTAACTTAAACCAATATTAATCTCAGCATTAACGCTAGCCTTAATATTATCTCAATCTAATTTAATTTCAACATTATTAATTTCAACATTAATCTCAACATTAATCTCAATAAAATAGTTTTTTACAAAAGATATAGTTTTTAAGTCTTTTTAATAAATATACAACGCAATTTTCTGCCTGGCTATTCTGTAAAATTGAGCTAAATTATATTGAGTTTTTACTATATTGTAAGATAAAAAATGAAAGATATATTAAAAGAAATATTATACAAAAAAAACCACAGTGCTTCGAGTCAATGATGGAAGGTTAAGCTATTATTATCTTCTCATAGATTATCATTTCTAAAACTTTAAAAATTAGAGTTTGCACAATATTTCTATTCTATCTAAGGAGTCATAAAAGTATTTGTTGCTATAGCTTGGGAATTTTCTCTCCAAGAGATTAATACTTAAATACTGTACATTTGCACTACCAATTTGTGAAAAGATCAAGGTTTCAACATTTCCAAATCTTCTGTATTAATGTTTAATTATAACTGTCTATTGTTATCTGTGATACTAAATCTGCTACTATATTGAACTAACTTGGTATAATTTTTAAACTTCAGTCTAGACAAAATTTTCAAATTTGTATCACCCTGCTTGTTTAGGTAAACTACAATTGTTAGATTATTGCACTATGCAGTTTACTAAATCTTTTCATGAGAGAATAGCCTTCTTGACCGCTGTAACCTTATTCGAAATGCTAACCCTAATATTAACGAACTTTCAAAAATTTTTGCTGCAATAAAACCTGGCAGACATCTATAAAGCATGTATGAAATATGTGTCAAACCACGAATCAGATTTCAAAATTGGATTAATCAGACAATTTCAAAACAACCGTTCATTTTGTCAAAAATCGCTTATTTCTCGCAAATCTGTATAAGAAATCAGCTTTAGTTTTTTTAATAAAAAGGCTTCTTTGAACGATTTTACTATACAAATACTTAACCTCTAACCATATTATAGACGCTAGCTCTATTAACGAACTTTAAAGAATTTTTGCTGCGTCACAAACCTGGTACACATTCTACAGGGTCCGTTGTTAAGTAAAATTTTTTTACACATCCTGATCGACAAAGAAATTGCCTCATTTTTCGTTACATTTCTATGATTACATCGAAGAGGCTGATTACTACATTTTTCGTCGAGTATTACCTCACTACCCACCTTACGCAATACTTTTTCATTTCTTCCCATTATTACATTCTTTTCATTCATTGCCTTATCCTCACGACATTCCCGCTTTATTGCTTGATCGATGAATTACTACATTTCACTGCATGTATAATAGTAAACGGAAGTGTATATAAAGAGTAACTCTCGCTAGCAAGTAGAAGATCATATATAATATAGAACGTTGTCATATAATTTTGTACATAATCCTCTCAGTGTAAATAAAGAATAAGTTCATATAGCATCTAATAAAATACTCACCCCGCATAATTTATGCTGCGCCCAAAACTAAATTGCTAAACACAATTATAGCTCTCCCGTAGCACCGTATTATTTCACCGACAATCACTTCACCGGCAGATTATTTAGCCGACATCACACCAGGTGAAATTTAGTAAAATATATACCAGCAACTAATCAAATGCTTAACCCTAACCCTATGTGATGTCGGCTTCGGTAAATGATTGTAGGTGAAATGATTGTCTATGAATTTGATTCCGCATATCTACGGACTTATACCGGCTCCCAGTTCTTATTGTGAAAATATTTATAGGCGTTAAATAAAAGACAAATACGCCAACCTTCCAAAAGAATTATTTATTTGAACACAAGCAACTATCATCGAATTATTTTGGTAAACTAGAATATTGTGAAACAGTATATATTTATATAATACATTAACCCGCTTTCGATTTTTCTAGACTTAGAATCACTTATTTTTTTTCTAAATATGAATATAAAACAATATAGCCGCCACTTAAAAATTATTGCTAGTTTTATATTAGGCTTTTTATTTTCAATTTTTATAGAACGTATGTCGTACTTTTACAATACAGTACCATATACAGTTCCTTTACAAGAGAATATTATGAAAAACCTTGAACAAACACATGTAATATTTATGTATCAAAAAAACAGAACAGATGACACATTTTATAAAATGTTATCATATTCCGATAATATTATCTTTATAGGAGATCAAAGGTGGAAATGTATAGTGACACCATGCCTAGAATTACAAAATGAATATAATTATAGTACATTACATCGTAAACTAGTTGATACACTTACGCAATTATTATCTCAGTTTCCAAATGCAAAGACATTTTCTAAACTTGATGATGATGGTCTTATTCATCCACATTTGTATTATGATCTTGTAAACAAATTTGAATCAAATAACTACGCTGGTTTATTAACTGATTATATAGTTGAGGTAACATCGCATAAATTTATTTTTATGCGAGGTGTATTTTATATGTTTGGAAGAGAATTAGCTGAATGTTTTTTACGTAATAATCTTATTCCTGAATCTGCTTCTATTGGTGAAGATATATTTTTTGGTAAAATAGTTTCAAATTATTGTAATCCAAAATTCATAGATCTTAATGATGCTAATATGATTTGGCATAAAGGATATAATTTGGGTAAAAACAAAAATTGTAATTTAGAACAACAATATCAAAATGATTTGAATTAGTTTCTATCTTTTAATCATAATGTTTTTTTCTATATTTTGTTTTATTTCAAATAAAATTGCAATTAACATAAGCCTTTACTATATATATATGGGCTAGGTGCTGAGAAAAGGAACGAAATTGACAATTTTTTCAAATGATTTTTTTTTATATAAATCAATTTAGAATAAGACTAGAATTATTTTTCACTTAAGACACAAAAGTAATTGTATTAATAAAATTATTTTGTGGTATAGCTCTTTAAAGTTTGCATTTTCTTATGATTTATTATAAGATTTGCAACATAAGATTTACGACATAAAAATGATTTCCGAGGATCTTTTTTTTTTGTCAAGTTCGTCCCTTTTCTCAGCACCTAGCCCCAGTGTTGGAAATCTTATGTTCTCATGTTCTCATGAGAACATTGCTTTAAATTTGAGAACATTTACAAAATTTAAGATGTTCTCTATAAAATTTTTTTGAGAACAGTAAGTTTGAAAAATATGTTCTCTATGTAATATATTTTTGTACAAAAAATAAAATTACTTAGAGTATGAAGATATAATTATGAAAACTGATAGGATCTCAAACTTTTACTAATTAATTCTATCTTTATGTTCTAAGTAACTTTGTTCTACAGTTAAAGTTTGACATATCAAATCTCTAAGAGTTACAATTCGGTATAAAAAAATATTCGCAAATATGTGTAATGAATTTTAAAGAATTATTCGTTATATATCTAAAGCGAATATAGCATGGTTAAAAAGCCTATGATTGGCTAAATGATAAGAAATAGAAACAATATAAATAATATAAAAAGTCATCCAATCCAATTTCA